TTTTTTAAGTTATATGGAAAAATATTTAAGTGCTTTTCAGTTTTGTTTTGGTTGAGTTCTACTGTATTTGAATATTATTGTAGTTTTTTTCCCTTGCATTGTTCTTCTCTGAATGTTTTTATGTATGTGTGTTTTTGATAATAAATTTATTAAAAAAATAATAAAAACTAAAAAGGACCAAGGATATACTTAGCATGAAGGCTCTGGGTTCAATCCCCAGTACCAACAAATAAATACATAAATAAATAAAATAAGAGTTATTCAAAAGCAAAAAGAAATCAAGATGCAAGAATGACCCTGTAGGGTGACTGTCCCCCTTGACCTCTATGATCATCACTTACTGGTGTTCACAAAAACACACTGCTTGGCTCCAGGGTACTTACAGAAATTGTCCCTGAAGAACAACCCTGAACCCCTGCAACCCTCTCCACGGTCCCTGAAATCAGCCTTATTTCCAGGGCACTGAGCATCTATCCAGTGTGAGCATGAAGCAGCCACTGCTTCTTCAGAGAAGGAGTTCAAACCCCTTCCCCACCCAACCTCACCCCTGACCCACTGATAGAAAATAGGCAATTAAATGTCATCTACACCTTTTTTTTTGGTATGGGGTATGGAGCTCAGGATCTTGTGCTTCGGAGGCAGGCCGTGGCACCACTGAGCTAAATCCCCAGCCAAGCTACACCCTTTTTTAAAAAATAAAAATAAATTCAAGTGTTAAAATAAAAAGAAAAGTATGGACTTCCTGAGTTGCAAATTACACTATTAAAACCTCTATGGAGGAATACAGCACATTCTTTTTATTGCTGTTTAAATCTTGGGCCCTTTGCAAAATGAAAGCAGAAAGAAGGTTTTAACATTTATCTTGTGGGGCTTGAGCCACAGCTCACTGGTTGAGCACTTGCCCAGTATGTGCCAGGCCCTGGTTCTACCTCCAGCACCCCAAACAAGCAAGCAAACCCAATTATCCCTCAACTCATATTGCTGAGTGATCTGGGATTTTTACTTGGCCCTTTGCAAAATAAAAGTAGAAGTTTATTATATTGCTCTGTAACCTGAAACTGTTGCTTCCACAGGAGAGGCCCAGCCTGGCTCCCGGTTCACCTGTCCATTTGGTAGGCAAGGCTTGTGATTTTGGACAGGGGAACTTGGGGCTGAGGAGGCAGTGAGTGAGATGAAGGTGCCTGAGAATTCCCATCCTCCCCTGGAATCCTCCTCCAGGGATGGAATGTTCCCATGGCGATGGGGGTGGGGAGCCATGGGCTGGGAGTGGTCAGGTTCTGTTGCCCTGGAAACCAGCCATCCACAGAGTCTGCAGTTGGGAAGAGGCAGGACCTAGGCCCAGCATGGAGGAAAAGCGGGCTCCCAGTCCCCGTCCCACATCCTCTGTCACATCCACCCTGTCGGTGTTCGCAGATGTGCCCCAAGCCCACAAGCTGGAAAGCAGCTTGTTAAAGGCCTACAAACAGGATGATGACCCTAACAAGATGTTCCTGGTCTACAGAGGTGGATTGGTGGTGCTGGGTTCAGGCCTAGTCTCTGTGTGGTGGCTGCCTGGGGTGCACAGTGTTCCCCGAAAGCCCCCACAGGCAGGAACACTGGGGCTTGTTAACAGAATTTGCAGAGGGGGAAATGGGCAGAGAATGCCCCACATCATCGTTCTGTCTCCTCTGCCCTGCTCCAGGGGCTTCTGGGGATTTGCTAAGAACCATGTCCTTGTCCATACTGTATGCCTGGGGCTGCATGGGCCCCCTCATTCTCTGTCCTTCCTCCTCCCTTCTTTCTATTCCTGAACTAAGAACCAATCTGCTATGTAATCAGCCCTTTTCATTGTGAAAGTCAAGGTTACTTTGTTTAGCTTCATGTATCTATAACTCCCATTTGGTATATAATTTTTAGCCTTTAAAATGGCATAGGTTTTAGCTGGGCACAGTGGTGCACACCTGTCATCCGAGTGACTCAGGAGGCTGAGGCAGAAGGATCTTAGTTCCAGACCAGCCTGGCCAATTTAGACTCTGTCTCAAAGTAAAATAAGGGCTGGGGATACAGCTCAGTGCAAAGGCCTGTGTTCAGTCCCTAGAAGTGCCCCCCAAAAGGGAAAGGCTGAAACTTTCCAATGCCCAAAGGACCCAGACCAAACTCTTCCTGGGTCGTTAGGACAACATATGCTGGCAGGCCCTGCCCTGAAGCGGGCAAGTGAGCTGCCTCTGTGTTTTCCCTCAGTCTGCATGACCGAGGACGGCCTCCCCTGGGTTTCCCTCGTGGTGCACAAGACCTGACTGCAGATCACCCAGGACCCCTCTCTGATCTACGAGTACCTGCCGGGCACAGGCCTGAAATCATTCACCCAGGCCTCCTTGGAGCTCCTCTTTGGCAAGCACAGCCCAGCCATTGTGGAGAACAGGGTGCGAGGTGGGGACTGGAGGTGCGGACCTGCAGGGGGCGGTGCAGAGCCCCAGCTTCCTTGAAGGCAGCACTGGCGACTCTGAAAGTCCTTGGCATCAGCCAGAGAGGCAGAACCAGGATCTCAACCCAAACCCAGGGCTATCTGCCAACTTGAGAGCTTTTCAAGAAAGAGGGGTCCGGGGTGTAATTCAGTGGTAGAGCGTGGGCTTGGCACGCTCAAGTCCTTGGCTTTGATCCCCAAACTGGAAAGAAAAATCAGAACAACAGTCAGAGTCTGAGGTGGTGCTACTGTTTCCACACACATGTTTATTTTGCTCACAGGCAGGGGGCGTGCACACTATTGGCGAGAGTGGTGCCTTCCAGCTTGGGGCCCAGTTCCTCAGGATGTGGCACAGGGATGCTCAAATAGTTTGCATCGTCTCGTATCAAAAAGGTGAGCGCTGCTGTGTCCTGGCTCCTCATTCCCATCTCATGGCTGCACCATTGTCATCCTTCTCTGGCAAAAGAAAAATGGCAGACAATGGCCTTCATCACCCTTCTCCAGTGTTTCTGCCTCCTTTTCTCCATTGTTCCATAGCTTGGCGGGGGGATGTTGTTTCCACAGAAAGTCACAGACTCATCTTCCAGGACATGGGCTTTAAGGTTCACGAATACTGCCTCTGGGACCCCAAGCATCGGTGCATGGACTCCGACATGTTCCTCGATGTGGTAGAGGTAGGGGGCCCACTCAGAAGCTTCCCCCCAGGCCTGATTCACAATCTTTCTTTTCTTGCTTCACCCTTATTCATTCCAGCCTTTCCTAGGCTTGGGTTTGCCTGGCCTTTTAGTAGGAACCAATATGGAGGAGTACTTCTCCTGTGCCCTTGGTAGAGGAGGTACCTGACCAGGCAGTCTCCACCCACAGAATATGCCAAGTGGCTGTATCCTCGTGATTGGGAATCTTATAGACTGCAGGTTGACACAGTCTCAGCGGGCCAAGCTGATGTTCACCATGAAGGTGAGCCCAGTGTTTCTCTTGTGTTTCCCTCTCACCATCTGCTGCCACCTCTGTTAATCTCATACTTCTTTGGGTCTCCTTTCTCCCCAGAGCAAGCAGATATTCCCATTTTTTGACATCCCCTGTCAAGGTTTATCCACTGGTGACCTCGAAGAAGATGTTGGAGTCTTACAGTACTTTGTATCCTGGGGCTTTGAGTCCTTCTGCAGCCAGTCTCTGTCCAAGAATTTTGGCATTTATGGTATGGACCAGGCAGAAAGAGGAGGGAGAGTCTGGGCAGAAGTGCTGCTGCTTTCACTGCATCAGTGATGTTGTGCCGGGGATTTAGCTCAGTGGTTTCGACGCCTGCTGTGCAAGTGCAAGGACCTGAGTTTGATCACTGGTACCAAAAAAAAAAAAAACTTCCTTACTGCATCAGTGATGTTTCTGACATCACCTGTCCTCAGAGGGATCCCAGGGTTCCAGACAGCATGGCGGAGGCAGAGGGGAGGAATATGAGCTAAACTCCAGATTCTGTTATTAAAACCAGCTACCTGAACCAGCGTTGGTTAAATCATTTCACCTCTTCAGGCTTCTGTTTCCTGGATAGTAAGATGAGAGGATAGGGCTTTGTGATCTTTCAAGTTCCTTCCTCTTTTAGGGCTCTTGTTTATGAGAATATTTTCTAGAAGAAGAGGCTCTGGCAACTCCTGGGGTCAGATGCCAGTCTGGACTGGGGTGAAGTCTCCAGAGCTCAGCCTCTCTTCTGGAACATTGGGGGTGGGTGTAGGTGAGGGCCTGGTCCTGGAGGAAGGCACTGAGGGTGGCCATCTTCCTCACCTCACAGATGAAGGTGTGGGCATCCTTGCGGCTGTGGCACTAAGTAACAAGCAGCTACTGTGCGTCCAGTCCCAGCTGATCAGCTGTGCCCAGGCACTGTGGCTGAGCCCTCCTGCCAGGGGATCTCGTATCATCACCACCATCCTCTGTAACCCTGCACTGCAAGAAGAGTGGTAAGGGCGGAGGCTGGGGGCAGGGCAGGTGGCCTAAGCCCTGGACAACCTACCGATTGGCCACTTCCCTCCCTCATGTAGCTCTGTCTCCTTTCATTCATCAAGTTTAATGAGGGCCTGTCAGCACCAAGAGCCAAAGCTGTGCATGGGTTGCCCTACCTTGGATGAGTGGCAACAGGACATTCTCTTTAGAGCTAGGCTACGAGCTATCTGAACACTTTCAGATGGCAGAAAGAGATTAGGAAGCATCAAGGGCTTGCCATTCCAGCAAGCACTGCCCACAAGCCTGCTTTGTGTGCCTAGTTAATATGGGAGCTATGTTACTCAGCTTTCCATTACTTAACAAAATGCCTGATATCTTCAAGTTAAAGGGGAACAGCCCCGTTTACAGCTTTGGAGGTTTCCATCCACATCATTTGCCGTGTTGCTTGGGCCTGTGGTGAAGCACCAGGTCCTGGCAGGAGTATGCTACTCACTTCCTGACAGCTACTCACTTCCTGACAGGTGGGAAGCAGAGAGAGAAGAGGGAGGGGTCAGCATACCAGTATCTCCTGATAGGTCCTCTAGTGACCTATCTTCTCTTCATGGGGCCCCATCTCTTAAAGGTCCACCACCTCCCAACAGCTCCAGAAGCTGGTGAACATTCTTTGCTCTGGTGAGCATGGGCTTCTGGGAGACTCTTAAAATGCAAACTGGGCAAGGGATTTAGCTCAGTGGTTCTGCCACCTGCCTCGCAAGTGCAAGGTTCCGAGTTTGATGCCCAGTACCCACCCCCCCCAAAAGATGCAAACTATAGCAGGATCCAGCCCCAATGAACACCCCAGATCCCAGGCCCCTTGGTGAGCTCTCAGGCTCACCTTCGGGGGCTGTTCGAGTTTGAACGCGGAAAGGCAACCTGAAGTCTAAAAAGGGGGTGAAGGGCAACCTCATACTCTCATTTCCTGCTGTCCTTCCTTGGCAGAAAGCTGACTCTAAAAGAAGTTGTAGAGAACATGATGCTGATCAAGGAAAAGGTGAAGGAGAAGCTCCATATCCTGGGGACACCTGGGTCCTGGGACCACATCACTAAGAAGACTGGGACCCATGGTTATCTTGGACTCAACTGTAAGTGCACAGGAGGGGCTGCTCTCCCCTTTCTTACTTTAGATGCTTCTACAGAAACATTAAATTATGCTGACTAGGTGACCAGTCCACACCTCTGCTCCAGATTTTCATCATTTCCTCTGACAAATGGGGTGGCCCCAGAAATGCTGACCCTTCCCATCCCACATAACCCTGCCTGGGCATAAAGGGAATGAGAAGTGGCCCTCAGGATCGGAGATCCTGTGACTATCACAGCCCAACAAGTACAATACTTGATCGAGAAGAAGCACATCTACATTCACAAGAACAGTCAGATGAACTTCACCTGCATCAATGCCAGCAACATAGATTACATCACCCAGAGCATCAATGAGGCTGTCCTCTCCACAAAGCACTCAGAGAAGTAGCTTTTGAAAAGAAGTGATCCCTGGTGGGAATAAAAGCTTTAGTCTTTACAAAAAGCTTGTGCTAATTATTCATTGCAACAATTCATTTTTTTCATTTACTAGTGAGGCAATGGGCTAGCCTCAATAAAGAAGGAAACAACATGGAGAAGAAGGGAATATCTATGTTCCTTGGCCATCTTGTATTTACTAAGCACCTATTATGTTAAGGCTCTAAGCTGGGTATCAAAAGGGAAAGCAAAAAACAGATACAAGCCTGTTGGGAGCAATTCTACATGATTTTGGGGAAAATCATTTCATAATTAAATCATGATTAGGGCCTAGTTTTCTGTTTACAGGCCAGCTACAGCATGTCCAGATATAACTCCGTTTTCACCTCCAGTCACACCTAAGATTCAATGGTCCCGTGATGCTGTGATGCTCCAAGGCAGGACTACACCAGCTGGAGACATCCTGGGAGGAACCAAATCTTCATCTGCATACTTCCTCATTGTTCTAGGATCATCACTGTGCTTTGCCCTCTAAGTCAATTGCTACTTTTGTTTCTGCTGGTGTTCTGAATAAAGGTGTGTCAAACTCAGGGTCTGGGGTCTTTGCTGCTCAGAGCGGCATTGATCAGGCCAAAGCTCAGCTTCTTCTCAAAGTCTTATTTTTTCTATCTTTCCTATATAATAAATTAATTTACCTTGTGGTGTTGTGGCTCGCAGGAGACTAGGACTTACTGCACAGGTTCTAGTAATGTCCCCTTTTCCTGTTCCCTACATAAGCCAATTTCCCCCACCCCTAGAACTTTACAACCTGGTTGGGAGACAAGCTTTAGAAACAGGAAACAGTTAACTAACATTTTATTGTGACAAAGGTCATAATAGAATATTGTCTTAGCTTCTCATTGTTGTGACCAAATTCCTGAGAAAAACAACTTAGAGGAAGACAGATTTATTGTGGTTCCTGGTTCCAGATGGTTCAGTCCTCAGTTGACTGGCTCCATGGCAGAAACACATGACAGAGGAAAGCTGCTCACCTATGGCTGGCAGCTAGAAAGCAAGGAGAGCAGAGAAAGAGCCAGAGAGGAAGATAGAGTCCTTTGGGTCACACCCCATGACCCACTTCCTTCAACTAGGCCTCACCCATTTCCATTACCTCCCCAAAATGCCATCAAATTATGATCGCCCCAAAAGATAAATCTGATGATGAAGGTGGAACTCTCATCATTCAATCTCCTGAGATCTGAACATATGAGATTTTGGGGAGACAATTTAGATCTCAACCATAACAATTATATAAAGAGAAAACTGTCCAGAACTTAGAAAAGAAGAATCTCAGTGTGGGCTGGGATAGTTGGAGAAAACCATATGAAGAAGTAGGACTTATGAAGATTTGGAGATGGAAGCATTGCTAGGACTGGGATAATGGGGACAGTGAGTGAAAGGACATCCTAGGTTTAAGAGCAACCTGAACAAATGAGTCCAAAACATGCCACTGTGCTTTTGAATGAGTGGGTTTTTTTCCAAGGTTCCAGTGAGTCACTACCAAATCCCATTGTGTTTTTCATGTGTGGATGCGGAGTCCTGCCCTGCCTTTCCTGCTGGGTGTGGGGGGTCAATGGTGTCCTCCCTAGGGCAAGCTGTCTTCTCATACAGCTGCTCCCAGTTTCCATGTCCCTCTGTGTGCCCCAAGTCACTGCTTTCTCCACCTAGCTTTACAGCCAGTGGGTTTTTGAGGTACCCCTCTTGCTCCGCAGGCCCCTCTGTCTGTACACCCTAGGCTGTGGCAACTGTCCAAGCCAAGGTGTAGCCCTGATCCACTGGCAGATGGGAGGAGCAAACAGACTACTGAGTTCTGTGCTGGGTGTAGGGAGTGGAGGGGGGTGAATAGACTGTTGAGCTCAATGCTAGCATTTTCAGACCCAACCCTTATGAAAACCACATACAACTGGCTTGGCTTCTTATCAAAGAGGGTGAGACTCCTGGGTCCTTCTCAGTCTGGGCTTAAACTTCTCAGGAGGTCTATATTTAGGCCATGCCCTCCTGCAACTGCCTCTTGTGACCATTTCCTACTCAGTCACTGTGGTAGGGTGACCCCAGAAACCCTGATGTGTAGTTGTTCTGTAGCTAAGTCTGAAACAATTAACCCTTCCTCAAAATGGCTCCTGGTTAACTACACCTTCTCAATATGGTGAGCACTGCCCTGGATTTCTGCTCCAATTGCAGCCTGGTGTGAGGAAGGAGTTACTCTCAGAGTAGAAGCCCACACTGTTTTTTTGCAGTTTATAATAACCATGGGCTTTTCTGTGGCTAGCACTGAAGGCCTAGTCTATTGTTTCTCCCTGGAGCTGCCACCCTCTTGGGTCTTGAGTTCAAGGAGACCCCATCCCCAGGAGCTGGGATCTGCATTTCAGACCACTTTGTCCCTTTCTCCGTGTTTACTTCAGTTTCTCCATTTTCTTTGTAGTTTCTACTTTTACTGTTACCTCTCTTTTAATTCCTGGAGACCTGTTTCCTCATTTCTCCACTAAATTGTTTTCTGGTATCAGGATTCCAAGTTTCGAAGAGGCTGCATTGTTCTGTTGGTCTTTCTGCCATTTTTATTCTCCCCATGTAATGATTCCATAGTTGTGTACTTACTGTATATCAAAAATGATCAAACTACACACTTCACATATGTGTGGTTTATTGTATGCCAAATTATACCTTAATTTTAAAAATATATAAAATGAATGATAAAAAGTGGCAAGATTGTAAGGCCAGTGAATTAGAGGTCGTGAGGAAATCAGAGACATGTAGGAGGTGATGGTATGCTGTGAGACTTCAGCAGCAAGGGGCTGGGGTGTAGCTCAGTGGGTGTAGCTAGTGTGCTTGAGGCCCTGGATTCCATCCCAACACCCACCAAAGCAATGGTCCATTCACTAAAGGCTAGTAACTAGAACATTATGTGCAAGTGGGTGGAGAGGTGGAGTGGAGAAAGGGGTTATGTAAGGCAGCAGGACTGTTGGCTCACTCCTCCAACAGAGGGAAGAGGTCTTGTGATATGAACATGTTTTGAAAGAGGGTAATTTCCTTGGTGCCCTGCCCAACACAGGTTACTCTTTGACCCATTGACTCCATTTCTTAGAGTTTATCCTATGGAAATAAGTGCATAAAAGTATGTGTACAAATGCTTATTATAAAAAATACTGAAATCTGAATGCTAAAGGACAAGGTACTGGCTAACTAAATAATACCGTGTCTATTCCTCTGAATACTATACAGTCACTAAGAATGAAGAGATAGGGCCAGGGATTTAGCTCAGTGGTTTCACCGCCTGCTGCGCAAGCACAAGGACCCAAGTTTGATTCCTGGTACCAAAAAATAATAATAATAAAGAGATAAACCTAAGTTTAATGACATGTAAAGGGAAGCCGGCTCACAAAGCAAGACAGAAGCATGCAGGGGTTAAATACATCGATCCTGACAGCTCTCACTTGTGTGACCCTGGGCAGGTCACATAACTTTTTTAGGATTTAGCTTCCTCCTATGCAAAGTGAGAATCTCTATCAGGGGTGTGTCACAAAAGTATTAGGAGCATTAAACTAATAAACATACATGAAACACTTTAGAACAGGGCCTGCTACATTGTAAGTATCATAATAAGAGTTAACTATAGGGGCTAGGGATTTACTTACTTTTTTTTCCCCATTAAGTTTATTGGTACATTTTAGGTATAAAATACATTTACATACATCATTGGGCTCTTGTACCATTCCATGAGTATCTTGGTTCTTTTTTTTTTTTTGGTTCTTATTTTTTTCCCCTTCCCCTGCCCTCCCTTCACCCCCCACCCTTCCCTATTTGCAAAGATTTTGTTTCCATTTTTTTCCTTTTCTCATTTTTTCTTTTCCCTTCTTTCCTTTCCCCTACCCCTCCCAATTCCCCTGCTCCTTTAGACCTTTTCTTCCTATTAAACAATATCAATTATACACTTTTAAAATTAAACTATCGAGACCTAGGAGACATTACCACAGATTTTTCAGAATTTAAAAGGATATAGAAAGCATATTACAGAAATTTGTTTTAGAATAAATTTGACAACTTCTAAGAAGTACCTTGGAAGACAAATTAATGAAACTAACTCTGGAAGAAATATAAAATTTGAATAGCACTTATTAAAGAAAG